AGATTTTATTATTTATTACAAATGTTTTTACATTTTGGTCGAAGTTTAAAGAACACAATTCTATAGAGTTAAAGGACTAATTAATCAGACTTTGACAGAAATTCATAAATTTTGTATGTACTTTCAAAAAATTATAAAAAGCATAACATGATCATCTATAACTACAATCTTTCATCTGTTATGCATTCGATTATTCGAGATGTTTCGAATGATAGCAGCTAAGACCGAATTTTACTTTGTTTCGAATCATGAGTCCTTGGTCAAAAGTGAATAGATAAAATTATACTATTAAGATATGCTTTCACAAAAAAAAAAAAAAAAAAAAATTAATAGGCATTCAACAATTAAAAAGAAGAATAAATTTTATTTTTCTTGAAAAAAAAAAAAAGAAGAACGGTATGTGTGTCGATATATGAGTAAAAAAAATTCAAATGACAAAATCAATGGATGTTTCTTTATTGCCACACACAACAACTAAATAAAAAACAAGGACACAAGTACATCATTAAAAAAAAAGGTACATAAGGACTTCAAAAGAAAACAAAATAGAGATTTATGCCTCTATTCGATATAATTAAAACCAAAGAATTAAACCACAAGCGAAACATCCAACAACTATAATATAGCTATTCGTTAATTTTCTTCATTCCCTTGTGCTGGAACTGCATTAGATTGAGCTCCCTCTTCTTCTGGTTTCTCATCATCAAGAGATTTCAGGAGATTCTTCGCATAAGCAAGTGTCAACTCCGTTTGCCGGATGTCCAAATCTTGGATTTTCATCCTTCCAGCATCAATTTCTTTGAAAAGAATGTGGCCTTCCTTCTCATCATTCTTCCTTTTCAGCTCTTCTAATATTTTGATCTTTTTTCTCAACTTTTCAATAAGGTAAATCTCCAATACGATTTCTTCCAAAATCCTCTCCAAAGTGGACATGTTTTAGTATGGCTAATGCTTAAAAATATGAATCGGATGTCCATTTTCATGTCATATTCTGATGGTATATATAGCCATCAAGGGCATCAATTACATTAAAGTTCATTACAAATGAAAGATATTATTTCTAAAAATATAGTGCACAGTTAATTGTTTCAGTAAGAAAATCTTTTAAAAATATATATTTTTCTATTATATATATATATATATATATATATATATATCAAGAAATGGCCAATTTTAGAGTGTTGAAAACAATAATTGTGAAGGATTTTGCAACAGCAATTAACGTTTTTGATACCCTTGATAACCTATATATACCACCAAGAACATCATGAAAGCCATCTGATATCTTACTCCCAGACAATAATCAAAGTAAAAATGATATAGCGCTGAGATAAAATATAATTTGGAGATATAGAGCGTAGAAAATTTCTACTATGATTTTTGGATAACAGATATGCATTAGAAAATTAGAATTTGGAAAATAAGTGCCAACCCAATGTGTGTGTTAAAGAAAGTAATTATTAATGAATATTAATTAACTGCGCCAATTAACGGTTTAAGAATTTAAGCCAAAAGATACTGGGAAATTTATTAGCAAGAAGAAGAAAACAGCTAGATAATTACCAAAATATGAAATAAAATATTTAATTTTGAATCACATATTCATTTTTTACACAAATAACAAGAAACTAATGACCAAAAATATAATTTTTCTACTTTTAGTGAAAGATCTTCGAATTAGTGTGAATTGGTTGGAACTACATACTAATATTTGTTTGTCAATCATTTAATTAAAAAAATGATGAATATGCACGTACTTTTAAATTTACTAATGTATCTTGATTTTCCAATAATAGGTCAAAAGAATAGCAGAAAAGAAAAGGTTCCAGAAGAATCCAAATGCATTCATCATCAATGACATCATTCTGAATATCTCTAATATAAATTAGTAACTTTTCTCTAAAAAATATATAAATATTTCGGAAATTAAAGTTTCAAGATTGGTTCTTCAGTTTATTTTGACAATCAAGCTCAGTTGTCTTATTGTGGACAATTTTAATATTTTCTTAAATTCAATTCTTGACAGACAATCATATTAAACATACAACTGTCTAAGGGAGCAAAATATTTTTAAATAAATCCGTTCAATTGATTGATAGCGATGAGATTAATTACCTGAATCGGTTTGTTTGTTATCAGCCAAAATAACCTAATGATAAAAACTTAACATATAGTAACAATTAATAAGCATTATCAAATGAATCTTTTTCAAATAATAATCAATAACAGGACTACATAAAAATTTAAATAACTAGTAATCCGCATACTTTATGAAAATGACAAAGTTAACCTTTTGAAAATTTTACTATTATTAATTGGCACAAAAAGAATCAATTAAAATGTTATCAAGGTTTAGATATTTGCATTAGATCTTACAATGTTCAAACACACAAAAAAGCAAAAAATTATAAACAAAAAACTTCGTTGATTTGAATTATAGTTTGAAGGAAACAACTGTGAGTGGTAAAACTAAGTAAGATATGCTAAGAACTTACAAAGACAAGTGGCAAATATTCGGAGACGACGACGAGAAAAGTTTAGGTGTGAAGGATAAGAACTGTGCATTTTTTTAAGCGATTGAGAATCCTTTTTATAGGCGTCGATGACAAAAATCTGTTAAACTGCGGTAGGTATGAAATTATTATTTTCCGTAATATGCTTTCAACACGTGTCGTAGGTAAGATATGTCATTTTTCCAGGAAAAAAAAATAGCATGTAGATATTTTATTTATCAATTCATTAATTTATAAATTACCTAAACTGTTACACTAAAATTCAAATATCAACAATTAGGCATTTCAAAAGGTGTCATGCATATGAATTTTTATACGTTAAAAAAGCATATTGGTCGTCATTACAATTTTAATGTAATTTAAATCTAATTCTAGTTATCGTTTAAAATGTGACCAAAGTAGATACTTGTTTGATCAAACATCTAGCGCTCTTTGCATATGTACATATACACTAATTTAAAGTAGCAGTCGATCGAGAAAAAAACACCATAGGAATGCTTGTTGATCGAACACTTCATATATAAATTGAAAATCAATTATGATAAAATGGCCATATTCTGGTTTGATGTATCACATGTTTACCTTGTAGATGATCTCATTTCTCATCATATCCGCAAAAGTTTTGAGAGGTGCTTATTTCAGAATTTGAATGACTTCGTTGAACATGACGTGGTTTTGGCCAGCTTAACTATAACATGAGATTAAACACGGCCAAAAACATGCATGAATTGTTGAAATATATGTTCTGAAAGTTTGTCTCCCGATAAATTTACCTAATCGAATACAGATTAGTCGACGGAATAATGCCTTTGGACATCAGATACGTAATATTAAAAAAAGGATTTATCATGACATGGTAGTTGACATTGGGTGGTAATCTAGTATTAATTTTTTTTTTTTTTTTTTTATGTTTTCTGGGTTGGTAAAATCTATTTTTGAAAGAAGACTATAATCAAAATTTTATGATTTATCACACGCCAATATATGTTCTTAAATTTTGTAATGAGTATTGATACGTACAGGAAAAAAATGGCAACGAAAATTTACAAAAAATGGTGTGTCAAATATCAAAACTATATCATAACTTTAAATGCTTAAACCCCGTATGAAAAGTTTTTTAAAATAGATAAGTGAGACCGTTTCTTTGTTATTTTTCCATGTATTTTTTCCTTGTACCTATCATTATTCTTTTGTAATACCTTGTTCTAAGTTTCAAGAACAATAATTAATAAGTTCTTATAGAAGGACTAGGGTAACGATATTGCCACCGCATAAATTAGCCTCCAGAGCTATGTTTTAATTCATTTTCAGAATTACCCTTTAGTCAAACATTAATCTTCCGCTCTTGCTGATCTCTTTTTAGTTTTTAACACCCGTCTTCTTTTCTTCAATACTTTTTCTGTCTTTTCTCCTGATTTTTCCACTAATCAGCTTTAAGAAATTAAGATATTCAATTTCCCAGCAAATACTAATACTCTCTTTGATTCTTCATCTTCAAATGACATCTTATACTTTAGAAAGAAAAAAATTAGCATGTCTAAATGTCTCCGAAGGAACCAAAAACTTAGCATCTACAGCGGGTTTATACTGAAGTAGTCTTTTTATTCAAAATATTGAGATGGATGTCCAATGAAGAATAAAAGCCAGAAAATACAAATATAAGACAGGCAAAGCATATTTTTATCCAAGCTTGGTCACTTAATTCTTGATTAGAGAACTAAACACGAACAGGCCAGAATATATACCCATGATGCTCTATTTATCATAGAAACAATATCAACGAATTTCCACAGCCAAAAAGAAGTACTTGAACATGGAAAAAGGAGAGCTATTCGAGTTGTCTTGACAAATCAGAGTATCAAATTTTCCTTTACTATCTAATCCAACCTGAACATGATATATTTGCATTTTTCTAAGCTCGATTAATTGTGTTTATGTCTTATCGGAACTCGGAAGATGATGACGATGGCGACAAATCCATTCTAATAAACTTGCAGAAATCAAATTACATATCTAATAAAATTTCACAATTAGAAATCAAATCCTCAAAGACGATACTTCGAATATTATTTTGGCAGAGAATCTGAGTTTGATAATAATTTTGGCAAACAATCATTTTCGTTTCATATATTTACTAAGTACTTTCCAAACACTAATAAGTAAGATACCATGAGTATCCCACAAACGATATTAATCACCTCTATCTATAACTACAATCTCTCATCTGTGATGCATTCGGTTGTTGGAGATATTTTTCAATTAATGATAGCAGCTAAAACCCAATTGTTTTCTTGTTTTGAATCATGATCCCAAGATTAAATGTGAATACATTTTTCCCTCCACAAAAATAAATGCTATTAAGTATTTATTTTCACAAATTGATAAGCATTCAATTCAACTATTAAAAAGAAAAGATAATTTTTTTTTTTGAAAAAAAAGAACGGTATGTTTGAAGATGTACCAGTGAATAAAGTTAAACTCAAATGACGAATAGAATGGATGTTTCTTTATTGCCACACAACAAATAAACTAATTAACAAGGACACAAATACATCAAAATAAAAAAAAATAAAAAAGAAAATCCATAAAGGACTTTCAAATTAAAAGTCAACATAATAGCGAATGCGAAACATCCAGCAACAACACAACAACGCAATTCATTAATTTCCATCTTCATTTCCTTGTGCAGGAACTGCATTTGATTGAACTCCCTCTTCTTCTTGTTTCTTATGATCTTCAAGAGATTTCAGCATATTCTTCACAAAAGCACGAGTCAACTCCGTTTGCCGGAGGTCCAAATCTTGTGCTTTGATTATCCCAGCTTCCATTTCTCCGATAAGAATGAGGGCTTCCTTCTCGTCATTCTTCCTTTGAAGTTCTTCTACTCTTTGGATCTCCTTTCTCAACTTTTTAGCAAAGTAAATTTCCATTGCGATTTTTTCTTGAATTTTCTCTAGAGTTGACATGTTTTTACGATGGCTAATGCTTGAGAATATGAATCAGATGTCCATTTTCATGTTACATTTTGAAGGTATATATAGCCATCAAGGGCATCAATTACATTAAAGATATTATTACAATGAAAGATATTATTTCTAGAAAAATAGTACACAGTTAATTATTTTAGTAAGAGAATCATATCATTAATTTACACCCAGTGATGAGTATAAATTAATGGCGTGACTCACTTACTAAAATAATTAATGACTATCTTTTAGAAATACATATTTTCATTATATATACATCCAGTGACAAAATCAAAATTTTTTAAAACAAAAAATTTGAAGGATTTTTTTCAACTGGGACTAATTAACGTTTTTTGATACCCTTGATAACCTATATATACCACCAAGAATCTCAATGAGCCATCCATTCTCAGACTCCCTAACAATAACCCAAGTAAAAATAATTTAGAGCTGAGGTTTACCATAATTTGGTTATCTAGAGCGTAGAAAATTTCTCTTTGTTTTTTTTTTAATTATTTTATAACAGATATGCATCAGAAAGTTAGAATTTAGAAAAATAAATATTGTATTCATGTTAAGCAAGTAATTTATTGAAGAATATTATTTAACTGCACTAATTATATAGCGTCGACAGAATCTACCACAATATATGAATAATGGGAGATTTATTAGCCAAAAGAAAACAGCTGGCTAATCACCAAAAAATGAAATAAAATATTTAATTTTGAACCATAAATTAACAATTAACCCAAAAAGGTACCAAAAATACAATTTTTCCACTTTTAATCAAAGATCTTCGGAGTAAATTGTGTGAATTGGTTGTTACCATGTTATTGGAACTACTAATATTTTTTTCTTCAATTACTTAATAGGATTTACAAAATGAATATACTCATGCTTTCAAATTAATGAATGTTTGATTTACAAATTATAGGGTGAAAAATAGCAACCAAAAAAAAGGGTTCCAGAATGCATTCATCAATAATGACATCAGTCTGAAAATATATATATATATATATAGCTCTAATCAAAATCAGTAATTTGTTTCTTAAAAATTCAAAATAATTAGGAAATTCAATTTCCAAGATTGGTTCTTCAATTATTTTGACAAGTAAGCTCGTTTATCTTATTGTGAACAATTTTAAGATTTTGTTTTATTTAATTCTCGACGTACAACTTCTTAATGCAAAAAAATATTTTTGAACAAACCTGTCAATTGATTGATAGGGATTAAATTATCTGAATTTTTTTTGTTTTAAGCCAAACTAACCTAATGATGAAAAATTAACATATAGTGACAATTAATAATCAGATATGAATTTTCTCAAAAGAGTCTTTTTCAAATAATAATCAATAATATGACTACATAAAAATTAAAATAACTAGTAATCCATACCTTATGAAATTCGCATAGTTAACATTAGAGAAACAATGTTACGATTATTAATTGGCACAAAAGGAAAAATCAATCAACACATGGTATGAAGGTTCAAACCATTTGCATAAGCAATAAACAATGTTCAAACACACAATAGCAATATTTATATATATATATATATATATATATATATTAGTTGATTGAAATATATAGTTAGCATAAAACCATGGTAAGTTGTAATATTAACTGAGATATGCTTAGTGCTTACAAAGACAAATAATCTGGTCAGTGCTGCAATTCCAAGACGATGATAAGAAAAGTTTATGTGTGAAAGATAAGAACTGTGTATTTTTGAAAACGAATGAGAACGCTTTTTATAGCGTCTACGACAAAAAAATTTAAAGGGTGGTAGGTATGGAATTATTTTTTTCTTAATATACTTTTGACATATGCCGTAAGTAATAAAATATATAATTTCTTTTCAGGGAAAGAATCGTATAGAATTATTATATTTATCAATGCATTTATAAATTACTTAAGCCGTTACACTTCTAAATTTCTAACTGTAATTGTGCTGATACCAATTTTCAATTGTGCCTGTCCAGCAAGGAGATGTGGATTGGCCCATCAAAAGAAAAGTATGAAAGTGCGATAGTCGAATCTTGTCACTGACCGGGACTTAATCGTCCTAATTCGTTAGTGTAAGGACTTAATTTGATTTTTTGTAACTTTTGGGATTATATATAGCCCTGATGGTCTGTTCAGACATTGATATCAGAAATATATCAATCCAGTTCATCAGAACAATTTTCCCTGATCATATCATTCCCCATATCACGGGTATTTTTATTGACCCTGCGAGATTCCACCAAATTGATAAGCTTCAGTGGTCCAAAACAGAGCATGGTAACTATATAGTGAAATCTGCTTATCATGTTGCGATCAATTCGCACAGCCCCATCATGGCGCAAACTCATAATCAACTTGATGCTGGAGTTGGTGCTTGGAAGCGTTTATGGAATTCCACAGTCCAACCGAAAATAAAACTGCTATTCTCGAGGGTTGTCCTCAATGCTCTTTCAACTAAACTGGGCTTGAAAAAAGAGGAGTTGACATCAATACATTATGCCCTCGTTGTGCTACTCAGGAAGAAGACAGTTTGCATCTATTTTTCAATTGTTAGAGCTCTCAGGCAATATGGAGCTTTGCCTATACTTTATTCCAGACCATCCTCAACCGTCAGAATGGCTCCTTGCTTGTATGGTACATCCGGTGGATACAATCACAACCCTCATAAGCTGATATGGATTTGTTTTTATTCATTTTTTGGAGGATATGGATAGCAAGGAATGACAGGACCTGGAGGAATCAGACAATCAATCCAGCCATCTCTTAGAAAATCATTCAAAGTGAATTGATGCAACACAAGCAGAATCAACATAGGTTGAGACTCCCTCAACCTCTCAACTCTATTACAACCATAGGTCATCGAACCTGACCTAAGACACTGGTGACTCACATGCAACAATTCACTTCGATGGCTCCTTCCATCCACGCACTAGACTTGCAGCTGGTGCGTGGAAAATCACTTCGTCACTGGGAATGGTCATGCAAATCAAGTAAATTCCAATGCATCCACTATCACCTTTCCAAACAGAAGCCATGACTTGTCTTATGCCACTCCGAGAAGCATCAACACTTGGCGTTACACACATCAAAGTGTATACTGATTGCGAAGTGTTGACGACTAATCTACGAAATGCTCTTGTCCTAAGTGAGGCACAAGAGATTGTTTCGTTACTTCTAGCTTTATTCTTAACCTTTGAATCCTATAAACTGATTAAAGATAGCAGAAGTGAGGTTATAGAATCGCATAATCAGGCATATAACACATGTTGTTGTAATAGTTTACATACTGCTAATTAATATACACGTAACGTTTTCAAAAAAAAAAAAGAAAAAGAAATATATTTTCTCAAATTGTGTCGTTCCCAATTTCTCGCTGGGTCTTAGAACCCTAATTCCCCAAGCTCGTCTCCGATTTACCGGATTCGTCTTTTCGAACCTTGTCGTCGGAGCTCTGCTACTAACAAATTGGCCTCAGAGCCTGTCGATTCTCGGCAACTCTAATTCATCCATTTTCCACTCAAATTCTCTGATTCATTCGTTTCCCTTCATCATCGATTTTTCAAGAAGATCGATTATGTTTCTCGATTCATCTTTAAATTTGCGTTCTTGAAATCGCAGTCTCAGAAATTCGTTCATTTCAGATTCGGTTCTTCTAACCCCAATTATTATCCCTTCCGGTTCTTTCTCGAATTCCGTCGATTCGATTTGAGATCTTGAGTTTTTTCTGCAACCGCAATCGGTCCTTGAATTTTACCATCTTGAATTTGTCTTTGCTCAAATGACAAGATCTAGAAGCGTCGTCGTGTTGCCAACCAAGGATGCAGAACAGCAAGTTGAAGCGGTAACGGCGAGACTTGAGCAGATCGATGGATTTCTCCAATCTGGATTTAAAGAACAGCAAGTTGGCTGATCAGATTACGAACAACGATGCAACGTTTGATCGAGTGACGGAGATTCTTTCGATGCTCCAAATCCCTAAACCAGAGAAGGAGTTGGTGCAGGAGACAGCCTCTCAGTCAATTTCAGCGGTTAACCGGACCCCGTACTCTCAGAAAACTTCCTATCCCGTGAAGGTTTCTTACAAGGAGGCAACAAATAAAGGTTCGGTAATAACGGTGGGCAGAGTTGTGTAGAAGAGTTTAGAAAATTAATTCAATCTGGAACTGTGAGTGAATATCAAGAACGTTTTGAGGAGTTGTGTTCCAGATTGCTGCATTTAGGCTACGAATTTGAGGAAGATTACTATGTTTCTTGTTTTGTCAATGGGTTGAAAGAAACAATTAAGCCAATGGATAGGATACTGAATCCTAGAACTTCAGCTAATGTTTTCGATATTGCAATGTACCAGGAACAAAACCTAAATGCTTTGTATGATGTGAGTTATATTGATTCTAGACAATCCAGTTTGTTGCCTATGGGTTCTGATCAAATTGCTGCTAGAAATGGTACTATTTTACAACCTGTTAAGCGGAGTAATAACGAAAATGGAAATCAAGTGCTGCAAACTTTTGTTGGTTCAAATTCTGAGACTAAAGAAGGGTATAAATCAGATAAGGAGAGTAAAACCTTGGATAGTCAGAATACTAATGTTGTTGCTAGTGTTAAATCTACTGGAAATAAGTGTTATGGGAATGGATACGTGAATAAGATGTCTCCTCAAGAATTCCAGTATAGAACAAATAATAAGCTTTGTTACAAGTGTGGTAATCATTTCAAGCTAGGGCACGTTTGTAAGCTTGGGCGGTGAACGTCATGCTTTGTGAAAGAAATGGCAAAGGAGCTTACACCTGATAGCATCATTTGGAGAGTGGATGGCAAAATGATCGACGTGAATGACCTCACATTGGAATTTGAAACCGGGCTAGCTTAAGGTTAGCTGGAAGATAGAAGCAGGAGTTGGTTTTGATCAAGTTTCGGTTGTTGTTGGTTTGTTGTTCCAACTTGAGTAGTTCCAATGAAGAGCAGTAGGGATTTTCTTGTTTTCAGTTTGATTGAAGCCTGGATTTTTCAGCATTGAAGAATT